ACATTGATGATTTTGCCGCATTTAATCTTTGTCCCGATGCTTTACCATAAATGTCTATGATGTCTATGATCTCCTTGCATTGGCTAGCTTCCGCCTTGCAGAAGAAAAGACTATCATCCGCAAATAGTAGATGGGAGGTCCTTGGGCTCGCTTGTGCCACACGAAGACCTACAATCTTCTTCTCCGCTTCCGCTCCATTCAACAGCGAGATTAAAGCTTCTGTACACAGAATGAACAAGAAGGGGGACAGGGGGTCTCCTTGTCTCAGGCCCCTCCTCGGTAAGATCCGCCCTCTCGGTTGTCCATTGACTAGAACTTGATATGAAACCGACGTGACACAACACATAATGAGGTCAACCAGTCTTTCATCAAAGCCCATCTTTAACATCAGAGTAGCCAAAAAACTCCACTCCACTCTATCGTAAGCTTTACTCATATCGGTCTTGATGGCCATAAAGTCTTCCCTACATCTTTGGTTTGTTCTTAGGGCGTGAAAGTTCTCTTGTGCTATCAGAATGTTGTCAGTGATCAAACGTTTAGCCACAAATGCTGATTGTGTTTCCGAAATCAGTCGCGGAATTAGCCTCTTAAGTCTCTTGCATAATAGCTTAGATATAATCTTATAACTAACATTGCAGAGACTAATAGGTCTAAATTCTGACATTTCCCGGGGTTTCTTCTTCTTCGGAATAAGACATATATTCGTCTGGTTCAAAAGTGGATCAAAGCTGCCAGTCTCAAAAAAATCTTGTACCAGTCTAGTGATATCTTGCCGCATCTCACTCCAAAATTTCTGGAAAAGCTGACTAGTCATGCCATCCGGTCCTGGTGCTTTATCCGGGTTAATATCAAAGAGGGCTCTCCGAATCTCCTGTTCCGACGGTACCTCTAAGAGTAACCTATTGTCGGCCTGGGATACTTTTTCTGTAATAAACCGAAGGGAGGTGTCAACCTCTGTCGGGGAGGAGGTAGAGAAGAGATCTCGAAAGTATTGAACCGCAACGGTCTCCACCTCGATTTCACTCTCTACCAACCTCCCATGTTTGTCTTTTATACTTATGATTCGATTCTGTGCTCGTCGTTGTTTTGTAGTGGCATGGTGAAATTTTGTGTTTCTATCCCCATATTTATGCCATTGATCTCTACTCTTTTGTTCCCAGAAAGTGTTCTCTTCTTTAAACGCCATTATCAACTGTCGCCTCAAATCTTCTAGTTCCTCGGTCGTAGAATTTTCATCATCTTGGGCCAAATCAATCATGTTTTTTAAATTTTCAATCAGGACCGCTGAGTTTGTCGGATTATTTTTTTTCCAAGTACTGATCTTGTTTCGACATGAGGTAACTTTTTGATGAAAATTCCGGACTGGAATGTCATCAAATTGTCCCCATCCTGAAGTTACCGCTTCCTTAAACCCGGGTTTGCCTATCCACCTCTTGTCAAATCTAAAATTCTTCTTCTTGGTACATCGGGAGGAGGATTGGATCCTTGTAAGGACTGGCCTATGGTCCGACCCCCATAGCTGTAAATATTCCACAATACTATGGTTAAACAGGTCGTGCCATTCCTCATTTGCCACTGCTCTATCAAGTTTGCATTTAATTTTTCCATTTTTTCTTTTTCCCACCCATGAAAATGAATTTCCCTTATATGGAAAGTCAAGCATTCCACAGTTTTCTAACATGATTCGGAAAGGGAGGAAAGAACTCTCTGAGCGACGTCTTCCTCCCCTCTTCTCATGATTGCCTGTGAGCTCATTGAAATCTCCAATCATAAACCACGCGCCAGTACGGGTTGTACTCATACGTGACAGTCGTTCCCAAACCAAATCGCGATATCTGATATCAGGTTCTCCATACACAAATGTCATAAAAATCGCATGTCCTTCAAGTCTAGTTTCAATATCGATCATATGCTCATCCGCATATAAAATACGAACCGAGGGATCATCCATATAAAAAAGCGCTAGACCTCCGCTTCGACCCACCGGATCCACGGTACAAACATGGTCATATCCAAAAGAAACTTGCACATCTTGCATAAAATTCCGATTGTTTTTAGTCTCCGACAAAAATAAAAATTTAGGTAAAAAACAGTGAAACAACTCATGTAGATGCTCCTTGGTCAAGAGTGCTCCCGCTCCTTGACAATTCCATGCGATTGTATTCATCTCAATAACCAATATTTTTAAATCGCCAGAGGAATGGAATGCAAATAGGTGACTGATGAAAGCAGAGAATTTTTTTTTTTTTTTTTGGTTTATAGAAATAGTTGTATATTGTATTTATCAACACCAAAAAACTCTAATGTGATAAACCAAAAACAAACTACTCTGGATGTGGATATGTGATTCGTGGATAGAGATCTAGTAGAGATCTACAAGAGTAAAATAGCTAAAAGAATTGGCCTTTCCAAGATAAACTTGAATCTGATTTTTGAGTGGTCAAAAAGCTATATCAGTTCACAAGACATCGTCTTCTTCTTCTTGCTCATGATTGTGGTTGTTGTTCTTTTTCTTTTGAGTAAGATTTGCCATGGATACTCGTTGAAATGAGCTTGAAACACAAAGTTCTTAGAGGTTATGTTTTCTTTATCGGGATATGAAAGCAAAATGTTTTAGTCACCCACGACTTATAAACATTGCTGGATTTGTCAATAGTACATGAGCTTATAAGACAGAGGATAGAGGAGATGGACGTTGAGCCCACGGTGAAGACGGTAGTTTCCAGAGGTGAGCTTTTCCGCAGAAGACCAGAGGTCAGGGAGGAGAGGAAAGCTTCCTTGGAGAAGGTTTTCAGCAAGATGACCACCAGATATGGAGAAGAAGAAAATAAGGGTTTTGGTGACTAAATTCCCAGATCTCCCCCAAACTCTACAGCTGCTAAGAGAGAGAGATGATGGGGAAGAATCAGTGAGGGAAGGGCTATGGAGATCTGTTATTTTCAGGTGAAAAAGTTGCCGGCACGAGAAGCCGTACATCCGTCCGTACTATCGCCATTTACATCGTCGGTGGTACTACTGCCTTCGAGTTAAAGAATCTAGTCAAAGCGAATTAAAAAAAAAAGAAGGGAGAAAAATACAGTTGGCGCTACCGTCATTTAATACTTTACAAAAAGGGGATGAAATTGTAAGATCACAAAACAACGGGAGTCAAATTTAAAACAATAATATAGTTGAGGGACTGAGAATTGAGAAGAATACAAAATTTCATTATTAACAAACGTCTCGTCTTCGCCACCTAAAAAAAAAGTCTTCTCTTTTCTCAGAGAAAAATGGATTCTCGAAATTTTCTCGCATTTTCACTATGTCTTACTCTGATTTTCCCTCTAATTTCGTCTGCTTCCATCAGATTGTGGAGTAGTAGTTATAGGTAACGTTGACTCTCTCTCTCTCACGATGATATTCTTTCGCATTGGTTTTGAGTCTTTTGACTGATAAAGATTTGTTTTTTTTTTAATTAATTGTGGTGGGGGCAGAGAAGGGACTGTGATAAAGCAGAAGAGGAGTGGTTCGTCTCTAGTTATTGATCCAAGTCGTGTCACTCAGCTCTCTTGGACTCCTAGGTTTTGTTTGTTTGTTGCTTTTGCTCAAAAAAAGGAAAAGACTTTTGGTTTTGATTGTTTTGATGATCTGAGTAAGTATGTGATGGTTTTCTGCAGGGCGTTTTTGTACAAGGGGCTTTTAACAGATGAAGAATGTGATCATTTCATCAACTTGGTACTATCAAATCAGCCATCTTGTTGATTGTTTTGTTTTGTTTGAGAACTTAAGTTAGTGATGATCATGGAATGTTATGAGACTGTGTGACTGAGTTCAGATATTTTATTTGGATTTCGATATGTTTTTAGGCGAAAGGGAAGCTTGAGAAGTCAATGGTTGCTGATAATGATTCAGGTGAGAGCGTGGAAAGTGAAGTTCGCACTAGTTCTGGAATGTTTCTCTCCAAAAGACAGGTGAGCTTCTGTTCTGTTAAGGTTCCGATGGCCTGTTAGAAGAAGCTCTGGTTTTTAGTCTGGATATTTTTTGTGCAATCAGTTGAATTTATCATGCTTTTTTTTTTCTGAGATCTAATCTTGCTTTTGTATGCATTCAAATTTCGCTAGCTTACTTCACTGGCTAGGCAGACTAGTTCTCTGTTACTAATACCACCAATTAACAGTATCTAGGATGCTCATCTTCTGCTGTTAGACAAAGTAGCTAAATCCAAATGTGGATGTTTGCTATAGGTTTTGTGTGCTTCACTGATTGTTGACCCTTTGAAAGCATGAATGATAAAATTTTGCGTCTGTGTAGGATGATATTGTAGCTAATGTCGAGGCTAAACTTGCTGCGTGGACTTTTCTTCCCGAGGGTATTGTCTGAGCCATGTATACTTTTCTTACTCTATCTTTAGTTGCAGAAAAACACTCATCTCTTCCTCTTTTATTTACATGTGTTGTCTATCAGAAAATGGTGAGTCCATGCAAATACTGCACTACGAGAATGGTCAGAAATATGAACCGCATTTTGACTTCTTTCACGACCAAGTAAACCAAGAGCACGGTGGTCATCGGATCGCCACTGTATTGATGTACTTGTCCAACGTCAAAAAGGGTGGAGAAACAGTCTTTCCCATGTGGAAGGTAATAATGAATTCTAACCTAAGCTTTGGATTTCATTTCTTGTGTGGCCTCATTTGAACATGTTCATCATACATTCTTAAAGGGAGCAACAGCTCAACCCAAAGACGATACCTGGACCCAATGTGCAAAACAAGGTTATGCAGGTAAAAAAAACACCATATGTATAGTCTGATATATGCACAAGTAGAGTACTAGTGTACTCTGTATTCTTCAGTATTGCACTATCTGAGTGTGTATCTTTGCAGTGAAACCGATGAAAGGGGACGCATTGCTCTTCTTCAATCTTCATCCGAATGCAACAACAGATTCTAGCAGCTTACATGGAAGCTGTCCAGTGGTTGAGGGAGAGAAATGGTCAGCAACTAAATGGATTCATGTGAAGTCGTTCGAAATACCGGTTTCCAGGACAACTGGGTGTGTGGACGAGAACGAGAGCTGCGAGAAATGGGCAAAGGCAGGGGAGTGTCAGAAGAATCCAACGTACATGGTTGGTTCAGAAACAGACCAGGGATATTGCAGAAAGAGCTGCAAAGCTTGCTCATCTTAAGAACCAAGTAAAAATCAAAGCTCTTATCAAAAGATTACAAAATTTTTGTGGGTAGAGAAACCTTTGGTCTATATAAAGGAAAAATGTTTTGAACAAATACTATAAAGAATAATTATGATGCTATGTTACTCATCTTCTTAATAAGCTTCTGGTTTCATGTTTAGTTTATTTTCTATCTTCAAACACAAGCAAGGAATACATGATAACTGAGTTATGTATTAATAATAAACATGATGTAGTTGTACATGAGATGATAGTTGTCTAAACTACGTCATGCACATAGAAACTCTTATATTTCTAATGAAGTGTAACAATCATGCAATTACCGTTAACAAGGAGCCTCCAAGCATGAAATCCTCACCTTCTATTTCTCTCTCTAGACATGTCTCAGTGCTTTTGCATTGCATCATTCTATTTCCATAAAGTCTCAGACATTTCTCAGCATCTTCTTCTGCTTCTTCTCTCTTGTGTCTGAATAACCCACAAGGATGGGAAGGCCTCCGTGTTGTGACAAATCCAATGTCAAGAAAGGTCTATGGACTGCAGAAGAAGATGCTAAGATCCTCGCTTATGTTGCAATCCATGGTGTAGGAAACTGGAGTTTGATCCCCAAAAAAGCAGGTCTTGTTCATAAGTCTCCTTTCTTGTAAGAAGTCTCATTGTACATGTCTGAGTTTAATTTTTATTTATTTTGGTAGCAGGTCTGAATCGATGTGGAAAGAGCTGTAGATTGAGATGGACTAATTACTTAAGACCTGACCTTAAACATGACAGCTTCTCTCCCCAAGAAGAAGAGCTTATCATTCAGTGTCACAGAGTCATTGGCAGCAGGTAAAGAAGATACCTAATTGCTAACTAACTTCTTTAAACAATGACAAGAATTTATCAACTTATCATTGGTAATAAAAATAACAATCTCTGATGCTCTCAGGTGGTCTTCAATTGCGAGAAAGCTTCCAGGAAGGACAGACAACGATGTGAAGAACCATTGGAACACAAAGCTGAAGAAGAGGCTGGTGAAAATGGGGATAGATCCTGTGACTCACAAACCTGTTTCTCAGCTACTAACAGAGTTCAGAAACATAAGTGGCCATGGAAACTCATCTGAACCTTTCCTCAGAAACTTCAAAACAGAACCATCTAACAACTCTATACTCACACAATCCAACTCAGCCTGGGAAATGATCAGGAACACAACAAGCCATGAGAGTTATCACAACTCTCCTATGATCTTTACCAATCCCACTTCATCTGAATTCCAAACTGCATTCCATTTCACTAACCATTCAAACCATCCACTCAATGGAGCCACATCTTCATGTTCTTCCTCATCTTCTTCTGCTAGTATCACACAGCCAAACCAAGGGGGACAAGCACCGGTTACTACATTCAGCTGGAGTGATTATCTTCTCTCGGATCCGGTTCTACCTCTGAGTTCTCAGACACAAGTTGTGGGGTCCTCAGCTACTAGCAACATCACTTTTAACAAGAATGAAAACTTCAACACTCAAGGTGAAAGCAGCTCTCAGAATATTGCTTCCAAGGTCTCAGGAACGTGCCATCCCGCAAGCTCCTTTGTGGATGAGATATTGGATAAGGACCAAGAAATGCTGTCACAGTTTCCTCAACTCTTGAATGATTTCGATTATTAGATTCTTCCTTTTGTTATTGTTGTTGCTTCTTCTCTTATAGCTTAAAACTTGGTTTTTCAATAAGTTTATCTCTTCTCTTTATCAAGTTTCTTGGAATCCAATTATGTTTCAGCGACCAACTTGGAATTAGTCTAGTGGCTAAAACTCGTGGATCTAAGGTTAATTTAAAGGAAATTAATTTAACATGATTTGAATTATGTACTGATCTTCGAGCCAAGAACTTCCTAATCATTAAAAAAAGAAGTACCGTTTTGGTTTCTAAACATACATAGCTGAAACAAGTTACAGTACCTATTTGATGGAGCAAGGACCCTCTGGCTGGAGTAGAGGTTTAACTTTATTCCTATCCAACACATTCTTTGTGTTTGCTTGCTACAGAGAAGCTCTTTGCGTATTTGCAACTTGCGAGCTCCAAAGTCGAAACCTTTAGAGCTATGGCGCTCGTGTTATCTTCTCCCATAGTCTCTCCACTAAGAAACAACATCGACATGAGTAAGAATCTGGGCGTTTCCTACTCTTCTTTCCCCAAAGTTCACGTCTTCAGGGTCTCTACTCCACTCCGTACTCGGAAACCCGTCGTCACCGTCGTCTCAAGCCGTAAAAGTGTGAAAGTTTGTTCCTTTCAATAACCATACATATAGATTTCCTTTGTTCACACTTTTCTCAGTTCATGTCTTTGTTGAAATTAGATATAGGAACAGGTTTGGCAAGCGAGGATAAGAAGTTGCTGCTGGAACGATATGGTTATGATGCTAATGAGTTTTCCTCTCAATCCAAGGTCCATTGCTCATTTTACTGTGTTTCTCACTTCTTATCTTGTAAAGATGTTAGTTGTGGAAAGTTGCTGACTTGCTGTTGGGTTATTTCAATATACATATTGTAGAAGACGAGAAGAAAAGAGGAGGAAAGGAGTGGGAGGAATAGTCAAAAAGAGGAAGAAGTTGTTGTACAGCCAAGAACAACTCATAGGTTACTTCAGGTGTGCATTTAAAGCATTTTGGGCGGTTTGTGTTGTTTGATTGTTTCAGTGTGTGGAGTTGTTTTAGGTTCTTGCAGGAACGGCGAAACGGAAGAAGTTGCTTTCTCTTAAGGGAATGGATGTTAGACCTATGATGGAAGTTGTCAAAGGTGCAGCTTTTGGAATTCTCCAGGTAACAGCAAAGAGTAATGGAGCTTATCCTATCATCTGAGATTAGTGATTTCACTGTTTTTGTGTGATGAACATTCCAGGACTGATTCTAACGCTTTCTGTATAGGCAGCTGGTGGTTGTCCAACGTCTTTACGTCCTGGGAGGTGGTTGGATTTGTACAGTGGTACAGGATCCGTTGGAATCGAAGCAATCAGCCGAGGATGTTCTGAGGTAGCAACAATAAATAAATAAAACTGTAATGGCAGAAGTTGTTTTGTATGATCTTGTTTTGATAACAGGGTTTGACTTGGTTCTTCATAGGCACACTTTGTTGAGATGGATCCTTGGGTTGTTTCAAATGTTCTACAACCAAACTTGGAACACACTGGGTTTGTTGAAGATTCGGTTATACACACTGCTCGTGTCGAAAACTTCTTGGAACGTGCTGATAAATTAGTAGGCATGTCTTTGTCTTAAAGATGTTATTACTTTTGCAAACTTCAGCTTTTTAATAGTATGTTGTTACTATCAGGTAAGGATGGAGCATTTGATTATATCAGCGTTACACCACCGTACATGGAGGTTGATTATGCGGTTCTGATGGATCAGATTTCTAAGTCAGCAGCAATTGGCGAGAATACATTTATTGTGAGTAGATATGTATTTTCATTCTTAAACCATCTTATAAGTGTTTTGTGTCACCATGTATTGCTCATGTGCACCTGGACGTGTTCTGATCTAGGTGGTTGAGTACCCTTCACGAACCACAATGCTCGATTCATGTGGATGCCTTGAAAAGGTAACCATTTCCCTTGCTGGTTGTGTGATGAAATGGGGTTGAATTAATTTTGATTAGAGAATTTTTTATACAGATGACTGATAGAAGGTTTGGCCGGACACATCTGGCAATATATGGACCAAAATGGGCTCAAAAGCCAAGAAAATCGTGAATCTCAGCAGCCTTTTTCTAGTTTAAAGGCATTGAACAGAGGCTGGGATTAAAGAGCTATAGTTTGTTCCAACCTTCTAATACTAGAGTAACTTGTTTTAGGTGATGCTAAATTTGAGAGTTTGAGAGTTGAGATGCTTCTGCCATATGATACAAGATCATTTCCGGCTCTTCCTGTCGCATTCTCTTACTGTCTCAGGGTATATTTTTGCAGGTGCGTTTGTAATTGCCATTTTGTTTGTTGCCAATTCCTAAGATGGAGAAAGTTGCAATCTTATGATTTTCTAAATTCGGTAATGGAGTGTATGTCCCCTATTTGTTTGTGAAGCAGAAATATAGTTGTAACACACTTTGGGATATGATATCAGTTAGAGTTTTCTCTTTTTCCCATTACATATGGCTTCTTTTGACCCCCTTATGCGTGAGAGAGCAACTTGGTACATATCATTTCTATATATAATGTATGATATACATCAATAAGCATCCTAAGCATTTCCTCTAACTTAAACAAAACCTTTATGAAAGTGACGCAACTGAGGTATGTGTGGGAATCCTTCCTCCCTTGTTTCTAATTTATTCTACTTTGGTAAATAACTCTTCTATAGAGCATGTTACTTGAAATCTCTAGAGGGAAATATTGGGATGGCTTTGGTCACAAAATCCCTGTAAGAATCAATACTAGAAGGACACCATCCTCATCCTGAATAAAGTAGGGGAAACATATATATAGTAAGAAAATTGTAGGGCCACGTCTGTTTTAATTTTTGGCTTTACTATGTTACAAGGCAAGCTTCTCTATCCCACCAAACCAAGGCCAAAAGGAAGTTTGCTTGTGACATGGAAACAAACTGACTCAATCTTCCCTAGCTGTCAATCAGATATGTATTCTTTTCTTTACAATTTGGATATGTTTCTAATTCTTGTTCTTTTTGGTAAATATATAGTTTATCATATCATTTGCTTTGATCTATTGTTTAGTAAGTACCCTTTGAGGTATTGTTTAGTAAGTACCCTTGCAAGTTTTCATTCTATCTTCAAATGGTGAAGATCACCAGAAGAAGCATGCATTTCTTTTCTGCTAATTGGGTCTTGATAAGGAGAGAATACTTAACAAGGAAGAAAGTTGCAGCTTTAGCTCCTTTTACACAGGTTTGTTTTGATTATCTTATTGTTAAAAGGAAACATCTTAAGCGATTTAAGATAGTGGTAAGGAAAGTAAGTAGGCTTGCTAATATTCAGTCACAAAAGGTAACACTATACTATTGCTTTATAATGGCTTAATATATATGTTTAGAGGAAGCTTGTGAGGTCCCCAACGGTTTGCCTGCATGAAAACTCACAAATCAAAGCAAAGAAAAAAAGGTACTTGAAGGGCCCATATGTTACGTAAAGATTATGTTTTTCATAGCTTTATCTCCCTCGTGCTTCTTTTTTCTTCTCTACGTGGACACCTACGTATGTATTATGTATACTATTGCTTTGTGTGTTTCATCTTTAAATAAGACCAATCACGGATTTGTCTTCCAAAGGTATATAAAAACAACTTACAAGCTTGTTTTTTTGCTTCCCATTTCGCTTTCCCCTTTTTTTTAGCCTCTTCTGTCCAAAGATCTCTCCCTCTATTTATGTGACAGTCGCTTCCACCAACTTCATGGATGTTCTGCTCAGTTTATTCTTTGGTTTGGTTGGTCAGTTTTTCATGTTGAACAGAAATCTGTAGGGACATTAGGTTTGGAGTATGGGTGGAAATGGGATTAGAGCTGTTGTTGTGTCTCTGAGTATTATTGTGTTTCTTCTTGTCGGTATCTTAGCAAACTCTGCAACAAGTGTTCCATCAACAGAAAAGGTTAAGAATTTGCGGTTTAGTGGTAATCTGTTTCATGAGAGCAAGCGTAAAGTTCCAAATGGACCTGATCCTATCCACAACAGGTTCTCATCTTCTCTCTAACTTCAATCTTTTTTTTTTTACATTTGCTTCTTTGAGTTTTGCTATTAGAGATCAAGGCTTTTGAGAATCTTCTAGTATTATCTTTTTGCTCAATTCAAGATTTGTTTGGATGTAACTTTACACAGATACCGATAATCACTGGTTTCTAGAAAGATAATTACTAACTGCAGAATTCTTGTTCTTTGCTTCTTTTCAGTGTGTCTAATTTTAATCATGTTTTAGTAAAAGCAGCTTCTTTCTCTAATTTCTATGCTTTATGGTAACTAAAGGCACTTCTGAAGAACTTGACCACTTTAGTTAAAGTTCTACTGCAGGGGAGAACTCAACTTTACTGAGCTTTTTGTTTTCAAAATTATTTCTTCAGGAAAGCAAGAACTTCAAGACTGCCACCACGAGTATGATTTTAGCTCCAATATATACAACGCCTATGGTATGCAAACTTTTCTATATATATATTTTTTCATGTAAACTATAATGTTAATCTCATGTGGCCTTGGTCTGTTTTCAGTTTCACATAGTGAATTACGTGACCTCTCAATTGCGTTTCAACGTCAAGAGGCTACCTTTTTTCCAAAGATAGAAGTCTCTTCTTGTTAAACATTGCTCTGTTTTGCAAAGATGAAGTCTCTCTTCTTGCCATAATGGAAGGTGAATTCTTTGCTCTCTTTTCCTTTTTGGGAACAATGTGTCTGAAGATTGAACACTTTTAGAAGTGAAGATTGAGGCTGATATTAAGACTTTTTTTCAGGGCTTTGTAGGGTTTTGTAATAGCATTTTGTATTAATCATAGGCTTCATATCTCTTGCTTTCCTCTTTTTAGTCTTTACCTTTTTCTTTTCAAATATATTTAATTTAAAGTTTGCTTTTGTGTTTCATCTGCTAAAAAAAGCAAACCATCAACTAAAGTTGCTCTGTTTTCAAGAACTCATTTCCCTCCTTAAATTACTGATTTATATTTAATATTATATGCCTTAGTAATATATCTTTTACCACTACAACAGCTTAAATATTCCATGATGTCTGCTACTTAATAAAAAAAGCATGTCCTTGTACAACTTTAGAATCACATCTATTTTCATTTTTGGGTTCTTCTGAACTTTGGGAATCTGACAAAGGGGAATACAAAAGGAGTGAGAGCATATATGCAAAACCTCTCTCTTTCTTGCGTTCTTTAACTTCTTTCTCTGAGATTGATTTTGACTGTATCGAGAAGCAGACCCTAAAGTAAGATTCTGCAGATAAAAACACTCTTTATCCTGTTCTGCATGGGACACAGATCCTTCCTTTTGTTCTTAAAAGAAAACAAGTGAAAATTTGTTTTGTCACTCTTAAACCCATGTTTTAAACTCCTTTAACAGTTACTCTTCAGAATTTAGTTCTTGATCAGTTAAAACACCCAAGTCACATATCATTTCTTTAAGACTTTGACAGAACGAACACATAGCATATACACCTGTTTTTTTTACATTAAACATAGTCTACAAATACATCTTCATCTAACTTGGCAGTAATCCTCTAAATCCTGGCCATCACAGGTCTCCCATAAGAATTTTACTTGTTCTCTTGTGTCTCAAAAATCAAAGGGAAGTCATCATCTTGTTCTGTGAACGAGTAGCCTTGTTTCTCAGCCACAGCTTTCAGTGACTGATACACCTGAAACATAGACCATCTCTCTTTAGGCCTTGAAGCCACACAGTGACAAGCAACCTCAACAAACTTCAAGATCTCTTCATCATGTCCTTTCCCTCTAATGTCTTCATCAAATGCATCAACCAATCTCCCCGATCTTCCAAGCTGTTTCACCCAATCAACCAAAGTCCCTTTGAAACCTTCACCTCCAAGAGCTTTAACCCCTGTAGCCAACTCCAACAGGACAACACCAAGACCATACACATCACCTTTTAACGAAGCCACCATTGTGTCGAAATACTCAGGAGCTACATAACCAAACCCTCCAAAACCACCACTCATCATTAAACTGCTCTCGTTCATAAACTTTGCAAGCCCTGAATCTACAATCCTTGCGTCGAAATCTTCGTCGATGAGAATCACACTTGAACAAACGTTTCGGTGAAGTATCGGTGGGTTACATCCATGGTGAAGCCAAGCTAAACCCCTTGCAGCACCTAAACCGATCCTAAACCGAGTAGACCAATCTAAATTAGACTCCATCAGCCTCTTCAGCGTCCCATTAAACATGTACTTGTAAACAAGAAACTTCTCTTCTTCCACAAGGCAGAAACCAAGAAGTGGTGCTAAGTTAGGGTGACGCAGCTCCCACAACTGATTCATCTCGTAACCAAACTCCTTCTCCTCGAGCTTACAATTACTCAAATGCTTCACCGCGAGCGCCGAGCCATCGGGAAGAACCGCCTTATACGTTGTCCCCGTCCTAGTCGTAGCGATAATATTCTCAGAGCTGAAGTAATTAGTAGCAGACATCAAGTCACCGAACTTAACCTTAACCAAAGGCTTTTGAAACAAAGAGACCTGAACAAGCTTATGGATTCTAAGTCTCTGCGCCAAACTACTAACTCCTCCTCCTTCTCCTCCTTGTATTAAACTGCTTGTCTGCTTTAAATGGTAATACCACCAAACACCAAAAGCCAACAACATCGAAGCAGCAAAACCAAACACACCAGCTGCTATTATAATCACCAGATTCTTCTTGCTTAACCCTCTACAGGGAGAAGACAAAGGACGACCGCAAAGACCTTTGTTCCCATTGAAATAGTAACTCGGTGAGGTAAAGAAAGAAGGGATGCGACCGGTGAGATCATTGTTGGAAACAGAGAACTTCCCTAGAGAGGAGTAACTGGGTGAGGCAAAGAAAGATGGAATGCGACCACTGAGGTTGTTGTTAGCCACAGAGAACTCCCTTAACCTCCCTAGAGACGAGAACTGAACCGGGATTTGACCAGATAACCGGTTATCAGACAGAATCAAAGAGTTAAGGAACCTACACTCTGCTAACTCAGGAGGAATCTCACCGTTTAACTCATTGTTAGACAGATCAAGAGAGACTAAAAAGGGTAACCAAGAACAGAGTTGGCGAGGGATTTCACCGGTTAATCGATTGTTAGAGAGGTCTAGCTTCTGTAAGCTTCCACAGAAGTGAAGAGACTCAGGGATTTGACCTGATAAAGACATGTCTCTGAGCTCGAGATTGAGGACTCTGTTTTCTTGATTGTTCCAGCAAGAAACGCCGACGAAGTTACAGAGGAATCCGACGGTGGTGTTTTTGAAGTTCCATGATTTGAGATGGCCTTGAGGGTCGGTGAGAGAGGTTTGGATTCCTTGTAAGCATCTTATGTCTTCTTCGTCAGCTGCCATAGCAGGAGAATAGCAGAGGAGGATGATGCAGACGAAGAAAGGAAGCAGGTTTCTTGGATTTGAGCTGATGATCTCCATGGAAGAAGGGTTCAGAGGTTTCTCCAACTTGGTTTGGATTAGAATTTAAAGTCTTTTCTTTTGTTTCTGCGAATGAAGTTGCAGAGAGAGAGACTGAGAGCGAGAGAGAGAGAGAGAGACAAAGGCTGACGTGTTGAACGGTCGTCGCAAGGATTAGATTAGTCGTCGACTTTGATTAGTCATTCATTTTTAATTTAATGTTTCAAAGCATCATCAAGTTAAAGAACACTTCAACATCTTCATCTTACCTCACGGTGGGCGAGAGTGAAAAGGAATGTTTCTTCTAGTTTCACTCTACATAATAAATTATTTATTTATAACACTTATACATTATTTTAAAATTTTCATAATGAATAATATAACATTATATATACGTTTAATTTATACAGTATTTCAGACTGTTTTTTTATTGAATTCAACATTCAAACATATATTTTACACTGCTATATCCGTTTGAACTATTCTTTTATTTTTAAATTTGCTTAATCCATTTTTATTCCACTAGGTGATTTTCCCGTGCTCATGCACGGATAGGAATATTCATAAAAATAAAATTTTATAATAATTGATTGATATTTAGTTTTAGTTTTGAATAAATTTATATTAATAAATATTATATTATTCTAATTATACATATGACTTTGAATATATTATTACCGGCTTAATTATTTTTTGGATCAATAGTCGGTTTGGTTATCAATTTGGTATATTAGATAATATCTATTTTTCGAATTCAGCTATAATATTTTCTATTCTAAATATAATAACACATTGATTAATTTTCTTATTTTCATTTTGGTTGGTTATTATCTTAGATACGTTAATATATTCTTAGATATGTAAATATATTATAGTTAAATTCTATATGACTTAATATATATTGTGCTTAAAATGAAATAAATAATAAGCTGAAGTGTTTGATTCAAAATTACATAAATTAATATAATGATAATATTTTGAAGTCTCATGCATACATATAAATTCTACAAAAGAATAATTTGTAATTGGTTAATATTTTTTTTCTTTTTAATATGCTTTGAGTTAACCTCTAACTTATATGTATAAAATTAAATAAATTATTATTATTATTATTATTATAAATTATATGTTCTTACTGTAGTTAGATGTTTAATTTTGGATATAAAGTAGATTAGTCGAGTCATTCATTTTTTTTTTTGAGTATAATGAGTAAAAAATATTTTTAAATTAAAATTGAAGTATAATTTCTTTTTTTTTTAGTTAAGTCAAATCAAATTAGTTTTATTTATCTTAAATATATATGTATTTTTATAATATTTATTTGCTCTTTATTTTAGTTAAGTCAAATCAAATTAGTTTAATTTATCGCTTAAATATACATGTATTTTCATAATATTTATCAAATTATATGTTGATTTCTAAATAATATTAGAAAAGAAAGTGTAACTTATAATTTTTTTTGAATTTTCATGAGCATATATATTTTTATTATTTTGAAAATATATTTTATGTTATTTAAAAATATTAATTAATGGAGGTATTACTATTTTGTGAACTTTCCTTTTTAATAAAGTCATATTATATACATGTATTTTCGTTTTTAAATTTTAGAAATATTTCTTTTTTTTATTATATCTGTTATTTGGAAAAAGGTAAAAAAAAAAAAAAAAATTTTAAAATCTAACAATTCATTAAGGGTATCTATGTAATCAACCATCGCGAGAATTAACGTGAGCGCGACACGTAGGAAACTGACTTCTCAAATAATATTTATATGTATAAAATTAAATAAATTATTATTATTATTATTATTATTATTATTATAAATTATATGTTCTTATTGTAGTTAGATGTTTAATTTTGGATATAAAGTAGATTAGTCGAGTCATTCATTTTTTGAGTATATTGAGTTAAAAATATTTTTAAATTAAAATTGAAGTATAATTTTTTTTTTATTTTAGTTAAGTCAAGTCAAATTAGTTTTATTTATCTTAAATATATATGTATTTTTATAATATTTATTTACTCTTTATTTTAGTTAAGTCAAATCAAATTAGTTTAATTTATCGCTTAAATATACATGTAGTTTCATAATATTTATCAAATTATATGTTGATTTCTAAATAATATTAGAAAATAAAGTGTAACTTATAATTTTTTGAATTTTCATGAACATATATATTTTTATTATTTTGAAAATATATTTTATGTTATTTAAAAATATTAATTAATGGAGGTATTACTATTTTGTGAACTTTCCTTTTTAATAAAGTCATATTATATACATATATTTTCGTTTTTAAATTTTAGAAATATTTCTTTTTTTATTATATCTGTTATTTGGAAAAAGGTAAAAAAAAATAATAATTTTAAAATCTAACAATTCATTAAGGGTATCTATGTAATCAACCATCGCGAGAATTAACGTGAGCGCGACATGTAGGAAACTGACTTCTCAAATAATATTATAGAGATTTGATCAGCTAAAACCGTAATGTTTGATCCATTTTTTCTATTCAGAGCCTTAATATTATTCAGAGGAAAAGTTGAATCATATTTTTTTTATTTGTAATATAATTTTGATTCATATAGATATATTTTTTTAAATATATAGATCTATGTTCATTCTGCTTAGTTGGATCTCTTGGGTGTTTAAGTGATTTTGTAGTGTTTCAAGCTTAATCAAAGCGGATCCTCACGCTCTAATTTATTTGCTTAAGTTTGATTTGTGGATTTATTTGCCAAATAACCAAAAAAAAAAGAATAGTTAGATTTTTAGTGAGAAGTTAAAGAAAGATAGAAAAAAAATGAAAAAAAAATATGTTTTTGGTTAGATAGTGTATTTGTGAATTTGTTTATGGTTATAGACACAAATTTTCTTTAAATTAGTTTTTATAAAGCTTCAGGTATTTTCTTCATGATTAATGTATTTTCAATTCAACAGAAATTACTATATTCCAGATGTTTCCTTTGATCTTTTTCTTGTTTGTTGTTATTCTCAGTCACTTCCGACAATATCAGTCTTTGCTATACATTTTTGTTGTTGTATCTGAATGTGGTCTTATTGAAAACACAAAGAAGAAACAATGGCCAACCGAACATGAAACTGAAGTTGAAACCAATCAATAGCATGATTCGTCGATTGGTTGAAAGGTAAGGATAGCATGATTGACTTGTTTCGAATCCTTTGGATGGGTAAAGACCAATGAACTTGATTTGGGTGAGCCGAGGTTATATGGACTTAGGCCTTTTGATGGCTTTTCTTTTTTGGACAATTTTTCAATCAAACAAGATCGGACGGTATTAACATGCAATAAGAGTTTGAACCTTCCTTAATCTATTTCGAGGTAGTAAAGATTCTTTTTATTGAACAAACGGGAACGCAGAATCGTCCAATTCCCCTGGTAATTGTAAGAGAGAGAGAGAAAAAGAACTAGAAATGCATCAAAGGAGGGTGTTGAAACCAATCATGAAAGAGGAAGGAGGGTTCCGTCTGTATCATTCTTCATATGAAGTTAACATTCATGGAGTAGAGGAAGATTTGGATGATCAAGAAATGGAAGTTACTATTTTTCCTACGCATGAACTCAACTAACATGTAAAGATCACGTTAATGTGATTGTTTTGGTGATGCTAAACAAACTCAATGAAAGAAATTTCAATTGAGATGAACGTTAATAACTACTCTCACAACAGTGGAGCATCTCAAGGTATCCTAGGAGATTATTCTCTCAGCATCTGAGTTAGATTATATTAGCATTCTAGGTTAAAACTTTGTTCTGAATCTACAGAGCCTTGTTCAAACATGAATTAACTTAGATTAAACTACTTTTGAATTTGATGTGTGGATTTGTTTTTGCAGTCTCTCTTTTTTGTTGTTCTTGAGCTAGTGACTTATTTTAGTATTTTAATATTAGATGAATACAATGTTGTTCTTGTAAAAAAAAGTTTTAAAACCTTTTTCTAAATCTTATTTGATTTCTAGAGATTTCGAATGATGTTAACTGAAAGATATCTCCAACAATATGATTAAAAGGCTTCTCTGTTTTAGGCATTATAGTCTCTGGATGGTGAGAAGGGGAGAAGAATGGAGATGCTAAACGGGAAAATATTTGTGTGTTTAAGTTATAAAATTTATATTTTCATCAAAAGTCTTAATTTTTAAAATTATTACTAATCTGCGTTCAAGTAGTACAACCCTCAGCAAACTCGATTTTTATGACCGGTCGGCCTCGATTTATGGACTACTTGGATATAATCTACACTCTACAGGTTGTGGTCATCACTAGAGAAGACAAGCTCTTCTCAAAATCTCAAAAGGGTAATAATCTTTTTTCTATAAGTTTTAAGGCCAATTCTCTTATGAATAACCGAGCCCAATAAATCACCCCGTTTTGCCCGGTTCCAAGATCGCGAAAGGACGAAACTGTAATTTAACAAAGAGCAATGTCAGTTCCTAACCGACCGGTGAAAGACGAAACATTTATTTCCTTTTTGTGTCTGTCTACCGAGTTTTCTTCTCTTCGGCGGGAGAAAACTATACGACCACCATCTCCATGGGAGAGTCCGATGTAAACAAAACTTTTATGCTTTCCTTCTCCATTGATGTTTTAACTATCTTGGTTTTGTGCCATTATTTTTTTAATCGCGCGCTTCGTGTTTCTTTTTGTGTGTGGCAGAAAACGACAGAATTGAAGAAAGCTTACACGGAGATTGTCCTAAACACGGCGAAAGAATCAGCGGCTAGGGTTATGGTTTCCGACAGAAGATCAGCTCGGTTTCACCACGATCTCTCGGAAACGAAAGGGGAAGCTCTTCGTCTGCTTGTCCGATTGAAACATATGATTGCTGCTAAGGTTATTGTTCTGCTTCAAAAAATGAAACAATCTTTAACATTGGGAATGTTAGCTTAAGTTGCTTTCTTTTTTTGTGCTTTGTTATTCACTGACTCAAACTTATATTAGCAGACAATTGAAGCAGATGTTATATCAGCAAACAAGCAACGACAGATTGATTTGCTTGAAGCTCAGCTTCATGAGGCTGAGGATATTATTACTGACCTTAGGTCTGAGGTTACATGGGTTAGAGATAGATTGGAGAAAGCTAAGGCTTTTCAGTCTCAGGAACGGAACTTTGTGAACATTGAAGAAGAAGAAACTGTTTCTGTTCATCAAGAGGTTGTTCTTGAAAGCTTGGTTCCTGATCAAGAGGATCGTAGCTCATTGCATGATGATGTTGAATGTGAAAATGAGGAAAAGCATCTTGACGGGTTAAGTGTGGTTGATACTTTACAGGCATATGAGTTGCAGGAACAGAACGTTGTGAACATGGAAGAAGAAATGGTTTCTGTTGAAAAGGTTGTTCCAGAGGTTGTTCTTGAAAGTGTGAACCCTGATCAAGATGATCATAGCTCATTGCATGATGATGAATGTGGAGATTTGAAGAAAGCAAAGGCTTCTGAGTCGCAGGAGAGGAACCTTGTGAACATGGACGAAGAAATGGTTTCTGCTGACAAGGTTCATCCAGAGGTTGTTCTTGAAAGCTTGGTTCCTGATCGAGAGGATCGTAGCTCATTTCATGATGTTGAATGTGAAAATGAGGAAAAGCAGTTTGACGGGCTAAGTGTGGTTGATACTTTACAGGCCTATAAGTCACAGGAACAGAACGTTGTGAACATGGAAGAAGAGATGGTTTCTGTTCACAATGTTGATCAAGAGGTTGTTATTGAAAATGTGAACCTTAATCAAGAGGATCATAGCTCATTGCATGATGTTGAATGTCAAAATGACGAAGATTTGGAGAAAGCTAAGGCTTCCGAGTCCCAGGAAAGGAACCTTGTGAACATGGAAGAAGAAATGGTTTCTGCTCAGAATGTTGATCTAGAGGTTGTTCTTGAAAGTGTGAACCCTGGTGAAGAGGATAGTAGCTCATTACATGATGTTGAATGTGAAAATTTGGAGAAAGCAAAAGCTTCTGAGTCGCAGGAAAGAAACATTGTGAACCATGAAGAAGAAACGGTTTCTGCTCAAAAGGTTGTTCTTGAAAGTTTGAAACCTTATGATCAAGAGGTTGCAGATACGTGCTTCTCTCTCAAGACACATGTTGTTGAATGTGAAAATGATGAAAAGCATATCGACGAGTTAAGTGTGGTTGATACTGTGATGGGAAACGATGTTTGTGAGTCGGAGTTGGATGGTGATATCAGAATCAAAAAGCTTGAGCTGTCTAGAAATGGTTGTACACAAAGGATCCATGCTTTGGAAAGGATAGTTCTGGAGAGGAAATCATCTTCTTCTGCAGATGAAGAGGAGCAAGAAGTCACGACTGAAAAGAACAGTGAAGAAAGCTTGAGCTCAGGAAAAGCTGGCACTTTGGGAAACACAAGATGTCTTGTTCTTGCTCTTAGAGCTAGTAGTGCAGAGGTGGTAACACTGCCGTCTAACGTATTAGGAATCAAGAAAGCTAGCAAGTCTCGTGCAAGAAGGAGAAAGAGAAGGTTTGGCAAACCAAAAGCTAAATCGGTTAGGACTCAAAGTCATCAGCTTATAAAGCCTTGTTGTCAGTCTCAGTCTAATGCTACTTGTTCCAAGACATCTACTTCAGATGGCGAAGATTCCATGGAGACGCATCTGTCCGTAGAGAGTAAGGAGGTGTTAGTAAGTTGTGAAGGTGGAGAAGATAGTGTGGTTCCATCTACCAAAACGGCTTCTAATTTGGTCAATCTGAATTCTGACTCTAAAGTTACTGCAGTAGTATCAGATCAGATCAGTGAGTCTCCTCCAAGAGCCAATGTAAATCGATTTCTGAAGTACACATTCCAAAGGAAACGAAAGAGAGGATCTGCAAATATACACGAAGATAGTAATAACCTTCCAAGGAAACATCAAGAAAACAAAGCTCAAGACCAAACTGAATCCACTTTGAAGTAAATGAACCATCTATAGGAAACCCACGACTAGCCATGGTTGCCACATATGTGAGTAATTTCATAGTTTCGTCCATTCAATTTTGTTAAAAGGTCTTTCACACTTTTATTAGTTGAGAGTTTAAGAGACAATATGCATTTATCAATCCAATTTTTTCTGATATAACAACATTCCTTTCAACTGCGAAACTGCATCTTATAGTGTCTTACATCTAAAGCTGTGACTTTTGTTCGCATATTGACACTCATAACATCTGGATTTGTGTTCAGTAAATGATGCTTACTTTTGTCATGTGCAGCTTAAATCCTTGTCTGAGAGGTGATGGTAGACTGACTAATCTTTGTGCAAGGGAACACTTAGGAACATATACATATAAATATCAACTAAAATACTTTAGCTGAGAAGTATGTACTTATTATCTCTTTTGGCACCTTGTAGATTATATTTGAACTTTCTAGGTTACTTGTGACAACAACCCAATGTTCTTGAGTCATTGGAACTTGGAGAGTATTTTTCTTTTTACTCAGGGAACCAAAGTTAATACTATTACTCTTTTAACCGTAGTAGTTTCATGAGGGAGGAAGAATCACACAACCAGTATGTGAATTGGTAGTTAAAAAGGATAAAAGTTGAATGAAACTTCATAAGCTTGGTGCTCTCCATATTATCTCGTTTCTCTATCATCTATCAGTAGGAATCAAATTCGTTTCAGATAACTATGTTTCTTTTAAAACTAAACAATGAATGACAAACCTCTTAACCCCACTTGTATAAACAATGGTTTTCAATATAGATTCATTGTTTTTGAATAGAAAATGAATCTACTTTAGAATATTAAACTTTTTGTTGATTGAAAAATATACCCTAGCACACTCTACTATAACATTCTAACTTTCAGAATGGATCTAGTTAAAAAAATTATGAAAAATATATGTTAAATAACTTGAACTAAAAGCTCCCATCCCAGTGTAGTTCTAGTTATATATATGTATATATTGTTTTGGGGATTAGAACATTTTGCAAAATAGAGAACGCATGTGTTTGGGAAAGACGAGCAACCTTGGGGCCACACTAGTATGAAAGAATTAACAAGACAGAGGAGCAGCAGGCGTGTAAAGGTGTAATGTGTTCTAATTATTATTTTTCTTACTCATACTGATATTCAAATGTTTTGATATACATATATATCACAAAATACATATTTCGTTTACATAATCCCCATTTTCTGTGAAAATTGTTGCATTAGCATGCGGTTCCTCATTGAACATAACTTTGCGTAACAAACACTTAATCTGCTCTTTTTTTTTCTCTTCACTAAGATTTAATATACCCAATAGTCAATATATATTGTTTGGTATTACATATGTTTGTTCATTCTGAGTTATTTGCATGTATTAGGTCAAGCTAATTATTTAAATGTTAATAATTATCATAACTGGAAGCAAAAAAGAAGTCTACAATCTGAAAACTAATCTGAAACATCTTCTTTTGATGTATAGATTAAATCTGCAACAAAAAATAAAAAAGGTGCAAATAGTGGAAGTTGAAAATGATTGTTTTAAGGAAAAATGGTCCCCAAAGGAAGAAAAAGGGAAAACAAGAAAATCAGAAAAGCCTGAGAAAAAAAGTAATAATAAGATGTCTGGGGAATAATAAGAGTAGATATGAAGGAAGAGAGGGGCATGCCTGTTCTTGTCTCCTCCTTCTTCATCGTTCTCCTGTCTTTTCATTTTGTTCTTTATGTTCGCCATTTGGTCTTCCACACTCGGACCCACCATCCTTCTTGTTCAGGAATCTTGAAAATTTTCTTATAAAGAATCTCAACTTCATCGAAGCCAAAAGAAGAAAGAAACATAGCAAATCAAGAAAGAGAGATAACAATGGAGATGAAGAAAGATCTTAGAGTTGAGGAAGAGAACATGTGTACATCGTTGTTGACTGCTTTTGTTGTTCTCTCAATGGCTTGTCTAAAACATTTCTACTCAGTATCTTATTTGATCGAGCAATGGCGTTCTTTAGTCTTTCTTGTACTCAACGTTGTTCTCTTAGCTGTTTACTTCACGTCGACTCGTCCTATTCCCGGTGAGTCTCACGATTTCAAGACTCGTCGTGGAAGTAGAATGAGGATGGTGAGAGGGAAAAGGACAAAGAAGATTAGGAAGATAAGGATGGTGGAGGAACCAGCTCTTCCCGAAGTCGAGCCAAAGGAAGTGATCAAGAACTGTGTCGTGGAGGAGAAGAAAATGGTTTGTCCTGAATTCGAGGAAACTGTGAAAGATTGCTTGCTTCACAAGAAAGACTATAATGAAGAAGAAGATGAATTTGAGCCAGGGAGGTTATCGAATGAGGAGCTGAACGAGAGAGTAGAGGCGTTCATTACAACGTTCAGACAACATTTAGTTATTGATGCGCGGAGAGGTAGATACAGAGAAACTGACCTGAAGATGAGATCAAAAGACTCTGACATTAGTTTTTTAGGTCGAGAGGTCACTTGTTCGGTTTAATAGTTTCTAAGCAAATGTTTTTTCTTTCTTTGTTAAGATTCGTTCGGTTTTGTTCTTTTTTTTTTTGTGGGTTTGAGCTAAATAGTTCATAAGATCGCATCTTTTTTTTTTTTTACTGATGTAATGTCATAAGAACACATGACTATAAAAGTGTCTCAGTTGCATACATCACTACATTTCTAGTTGACACCTATTGAAATGATAAATACATCACTGCACTTCTAGTTAATACCTATTGTAATGATAAACGGCTTGACTCGGTATAATCTTGTCTTGAATTCTCAAACAGTGGTGATTGTAGGGTCAGTAAACAAATCTTTTAAATATAAAAAAAATTAACGCACCACTCGTGGCACGGAATGAGATTTACTGCCGATTGAGGGGGTGTGGGAGATGGACAGCCAGCCCATATGTGTGGAGTTTGATTTCATTCAACTTCCAAGAACTTTACGATTTGTTAAAGATATTTACTAGAGCCTCTGCACCGAGGTGCATGTTACTGCTGTCAGATCGGATATAAAGTTCACAATGTTTATATAAGTAGAGTCCATCATGCCGATTAAGCCAAAGCATATCCTTTGACAAGGCTTTCAGAAGGCACTAGACACCAATGTTTATATAAGTAAAGCTTATAATTTGCATACCGAGGATTATTCAAAGGATATGCTCAAGAACTTTTGTTTTTGATTGGGATGAATCTATTGTTGGCAGAGTTCGCCTATAACAAAAACTGTCACTTGTGTTTGAGATGACAATTTATGGAGTGTTATCTCGCAAAAGTCACAACACTATGTTAGACCAAAGTGTGAGAACGTTGAGGTATAGAACCATCAATGGTTTGAGAGACGGTATAGCAAGTGAAAATGCTTAAGAGTCGGTTAGAAGAAGTTCATGACCATCAGAAGTGTTATGCTGATAACACATGATATATTTGGAGTTCGTGGTGAGTGATTTAGTGTACATAAAAATGATGACATTTTAAGGAGGAGCCAAAACTTGAAATATGAAGAAGCTTAACCTGAAGTACATGGGATTCTATTCTATAACTGTGTAATAAGCATTTTTTTATCGTTTGGGTTTATCATCACAGTTATCAAATTTCTATGATGAGTTTCACGTATCAGTTCTAAGGAAAGTCGTTAGAGAGCCATTGTTCATTTTGTAGCAGGCCTGACATCAGTAAGAATTTAATGCACCTAACCAATCAGTGGAGATCCTCGAATGACAAGGAAAGAAAATATTGCAAGGGACTGTGACAAGAATGGTAGAATTTCAACGGAATAAAAATAAATATTGCAGGTTTGACCAAAAAAAAAGAAAGAAATGAGATCCATGAAGACACGTGAGAGACTGTCTCAGATTTAGATACACTATCCCAAAAAAAAAAATTCGAGAAACTGAGCAGACGGGTCAGAATTTAAATTCTAGTGATAGTTATAGTGGCCACTTTAGTTTTTGTACCTGTTTACAAATTGTTTCGTATTTAATGCAGACAAAACTTAGAAACTGAATGAGTAGTAACTCCTTTTTCCACGGTTTTGATAGATAATTTCTTTACATCACCCCACTAACGTAGCTACTTGTAGGGGTGGGCACGGATCAGATATCCGGTTTTTTTAAGGTATTTGTAATTTGCTTCGAATGTTACGGATATCTAATTTTGGTATTTGCTTTGCTTCGAAAAATACGGATATCCGGAAAAACGGATATCCAGAAAATAAATAGATATTTGCGGATATTTATGAATATTTACGGATATCTCATCAATTTTGATTAATACA